AGCTCATTACCTGAGACAAAAACAAATGTTTTGGCGCCTGTTCTCAAACATCCCTACTGAAAACTGTTAAGAACTTATTATAAACCGACATAAATAAATTGATCTCCCAATGAGAGAGCCTTTCAAATAGGTAGTAAAATTATGGATCTAAAAAAAAATTCAGCGTTTTAGTATCGCTTGCATCTCAAAAAAATTTTGCCTGAATTCTTCAAACTAGCTATTTCCCGTACTCCCTGACCAATCAGCGTCCTTCACTGGGATTGTCTCTCATTGGTTAACTCTTCTCAAACTTAAACTAAATTCTACAAATTTTCTTCACTGTAAAAGCAACTCTGTAAGTCAATGGAGAGAAGATCAGTTTGGACTCTTTGGGTGGCCTTGCCGCCTCAATTCACTTTCAAAGACTTCAATTTTTTTTTTAAATGAAAAAAATTCGTCTAAATTGGAATTACATTTATTAGTGATAATTTTGGCGTATTTGAAGTATTGATTAGATTTTCCCAATCAAACTCCTGATTTCAAAGGTTTTCCTGAGCTCGGTCCTCTTCAAACCAACATTCTCTATGGGACAAGAACAAAAAATTATTCAAACTGAACACAAGAGTTAATGGAATGTGTATCCTGTGCTTCCAATTAAGTGGGTTGATAGAAAAAAAAACCCTTTTTAACACTTTTCCCATAACAAAATTCAGTACAATTTGTGACAACTTAAAAAGCGCTTTCTTGTGCGCATGTGCTGTAACACTTGTCACTTTGTAGAGAATGTTATCAAATGTCTCATAAATGAAAAGAGGCGTAAACCTGAGATTATTGAAAAAAGGCCTTACTCTAGCTTCCTTAGGCCATTTTAAAATTTTTTTGGCCAATTTTCCTAATACAAATCATCACTTTGGAAAAAAGGGGATCATGTGCACCTAAAGACCTCACCCCCCTGGACACGCCCATTATGTAATCTGACTAAGACAACGTGCAATGTCAATCAAAGTCAAGCGCCATTTTCCCGCGCTTAGGCTTATCCTATCTTTATGTGTTCTGAAAGAAAGATGTTTTTTTATGTGTTATACGCCTGGAATGAGCGGGCCTCGTTTTCAGTTTCACTGGGCCTCGATTGGGAGTAGAATCTTTGATCAAGATAATGATTAAGTCTCATCGTCACCAAGACACAAAGTGAGATCTAACACTTCTAAGTCCTTCAAAGCCCACCGGAAAACAAAGACATTTTTCCAGGTACCGGTATTAATTTGAATTCAAAAATCAGTAAGCTTACTGTGCCAGTCAAGAAATAATACCACACGATCTAAATTAAATTAATAAATTAATTGTGTGAGAACGTTTTGCATAATTATCATCTGATCGAAAGCCAAATTTCTCTAGTAAATTAAGCCATCGGTACTTAGTGCAATTATCGGTGAAATAAGAGTTTCTAAACGTGTGTTGTATGAAATCAACCAGCCCTAGGTTCTCTTTAGACCATATAAAATTCTATGATCAGCAAGACGGCTGGCCAGCTCTCATTTTAATTTTTCCGGCTTGCGGTTTTTTCAGTTTCACCTGTCGCTCTCAAAACTGAAGGAAAATGAAAAAGCGTCCCTTATTATTTATTTATCAAACACCCTGGATTCCATGAGAAACATGGCAGACAAAACAACTCTCCTACTTTTTACAAAAGACCAAGAAGAAAACGCTGAAAAGCTACGGACAGTTTTAGAAAGCGAGGGTGAAGTATTTGTACTGGATCTTGCTGATATTGCTATTCGTGGTCTCTCGCTTAAAGACGAAATCCGCACAGGTTGTGACTGCACTGTTTTGATTTGCTCTTCTGAAGCGACGCGGCTTATTAACGAGGAAGAATCCTACGTTTTTGTTACAAAAGGCGGACAGGAAGTAAACTTCGATGGGAAAGTGATCAGCAATGTTCTCAAGGAAGACGATGGAAAGTTACGTCGTAAAATAATTCCGGTATCTTTCGTGGAACTTCCATCGGTTTTACACGGAGCGGGTACAAGGCGTAAGGATCGACAAAGTGCGATTTCATTTGAAATAAACCAAGGAGAGGTCACAGAAGTAATGTTGGAAGGTGATATCTTACAATCATTGATTGATGCTATTAAGACGGTCTATAAATGATTCGAAATGCGACGAAATGTTAAGCAAGTGTTTCTTTTTACGGTCCTGTTGTGCATATAAATAAATCAGCGGAGGATTTCTGGTGAAGAAAATGAAAGAATGATCGCGTAAATATCTATAACGTAGAAACGAGTGTATCGTAAAGATAGCGATTGCTGCGCTTAGTTTAGCGGGTAATGTCAACCAGAAGGCTAGTGGAGATTGGAAAAATAGAACAGCTTTATTGAGAAGTTTGTAAGCATTTTTCATGAACACAACAATAAGCAGGGATTTTATTAACGCAACAATAAACAGGAACAATAACATTAACATATGACAGTATGCAGATTTCACAAGTTTGGCAAACAAAACGAACTTTGAATAACTGTAACTTCGATAATTGTGGAAATATCTCTATAGCAGAAATCAGAGATCCCAGATCCCTCCATTGTAACTGATATAAATTTAATAAACGGTTTGCTTTCTTTCACCAGAAGTTGTTATTCGAAGTTCTTTTCAATCCGCTGATGACCAGGGAAAAGCGACAGAGAGGAGGCTGAAAACAAGCCTTCCTCGCCCCAGTTCCTTCCTTCGTGTTCGCTACAGCACTCGCATGAAACTGAGCTTAGACATCAACAATAGGCCATTTTACAGTTGTGTACTTAAATGCCAAGCCTTTGATTTGGAGTGAGGCTAAAGGTGACCTTGTTGTGATAAAGACCAGTATCTCGTTAGCTAAAAAGGCAATTTACATTTGAAAAGCAGCAAGGTTTCTATCATAACAAGGTCACCATTAACATCACTCCTGTTAAAAGGCTTAGAAACCAAACACGTAATATCGTCTTACATGTCACGTACGCTTTTGTCTTCAAATGGATTCCACAGGAAGTATTAGAGAAAGAAAAGAAGAAAAAAGCTTTAGAACTGATAGAAAAAAATTTATAACCTAGCAAACAAAATAGGAAAATTAGGATGCAGAAATAAGTAAATATATATTTGAATAAACAAATGAATGATTAAGAAAAATTAACGGATTCGCAGAGAAATGAGTAAATGGAAAAATAAATCTCACCTTGCGTTTCAAAACGAAAAATACCGAGGAACTCGGCAACACTTTATGATTAGGAAAGAAACTAAACTATGTGATTAAGGAATTATTTTTGTGTGCAGTACTCAGTCTAGCTTATTTCCCTGATACACAGCTACTCCTACGTGTGCCAATATCCCTCTGCTCCGTCTATTATCGAGGGTCTTAGAATTATCATTCCTCTTGTGGTGTGAAGCAGCAATATGTGATCACAGCGTTTATATATTACTCTGAGGGCAACGCGCTTCTACACATTTAGTCAACATCAGAATATTTACCACATGACAGTGCTCTCCCGAGTCCTTTATTGTGCGTAACAAAGGTCGTATAAACTAAATTGCCATATATTTATCCTTTAATGAAAGAAAACTATTTCCTACAGGAAAGCGGCGAAATTGCTCCGACATACCCCTCTCCCGATAAAAAGGGGCTCGGGTGACGCCCTTCCGACATCCGGGTGGGGAGCAGAGATCTTTTTCAAGCGTGTTAGATAGGTGCCGATAATCTGATTAAAATCTTAATTATAACATTTATGACTTTTATTTCTTATTTTGTCGGTAACGTGTTCAGCAATTTCAGAGTTTGGACCGCAGCTTCTTAGAATTCTTCAAGTTCTTCAGGAAATAAAATCGGTGTCACGCCCGACATTCTTCTGATGTTCCGAAAAAGGAATGTGTTATACATCCGTCTCTTCGGTATTCCGCTTTCAAAAGAAAGAGATTTTATTACTCATTTGAAAAAGTATTGTTTTCCACTCGGCGCCTGAGGTGCGAAAATAATAAAAAAGTCAGTTCTGTCTCGCAATTGGTTGATGCGTTAATTAATGAGGTATTTTCGTGATGAATGGATCAGGCGCGCTTTGTCTGGGAGCATGATTTAATGCCAACAGCTTCGGCGAAGAAAACATCAGATCGAGTGTTCGTTGCTGAAATTCGTAAGAAATGGCTGTAATTTTGGAGACATTGAGGCTTCGACATCTTTTAGCGTTTGCACTTCTCTTGGTGGGAATTCTGGCGACCTTTTTCGCTGTAGGAGGAAAAATCGGTGAGTGTTGTTAAATCAATTTTGATTTACCGTCATAATATGCGAATTATGTAGCGAAGCCTTGTCAAATCCGAGAGAGAATTCTACACTCAGTCAGAATTTTGTGACTCAAGACGTTTCTATCAGTAGTTAGAAATCGAGATAGCGTATACAAAAGAGCAATTAAGAGGAACAGTGAAACACATGTCAAATAATGTATCGAATTGAAAATTCGAGAGTTATTACTGAGAGCGATTCTATCACAAGTGGTCATTCATCAAATATAGAATTGATGCGTGTACACAAACTTACAGTTGATATTTAGTCTAATATCGTGGCAAGAACACTGAACAAGAGATTCAAAGAAGCGAATTGAACCTGAACTTTACTGAGGCTCGGAAAGTGATCCTGAAACATTTCTGAAGTGGATTTATCTGCGAATTACATTTATGCATGTAATCGAGCTATGCTTAAAAGTTGTCTTTTAAAATGACCCAATTTGAAATATTGTTGTCATTCAAACATATTCATCGTCAGTTCTTGCGTTCATTTTCCCATGGAAAGTCATGAAGTTTTCCATAAGTCAAAGTTGGAGGTTACCACCTGGGTATTTTAAGAACAGTAAACAACAAAATGAAAAATCAAGTTTATTGCAAAGCATTTTGTTTTTAGCTAATTTAATTATTGTTTTGATAACAATTTAGATATTTAATTGTTTTGTTTTGGTTGTAGCGCTGTAACTTTTGGCTGCATTGGCTCTTTATGATACACACTATAACTTGATGAGCATTTGATGAAAAAAAAAATTATTAATTTTGTGGTGACTTCAATTATTTATTATTTTTAGTAACGATGTGTGATAACTGAAAATGAAAATTAGGACAGCTATTGCATTAGAGCTGTGGCGGATATGTGTTATTTATTGTATATAGTTGTTCATGCATACTATATTAGAATTGTCTGAGTGGTTGTTGAATAATTCAATTCTATTCAATAGCACTTGCAAAATCATTCTTATTTTGACATGTTGAGAAAAGATGCCTTAATTGATTTGAAGATGCATGTAGACAACATTTTATTGTAACTGTAAATACACACAGCAGACTTGAGTGGAAGTTCTATACAGTCTTACAACTCTGTGGTTTAAGTGCCGTGTAATTTATGATAAATTTGTACATGGGCAGCTATTGAACTGTGACATTAACAATGTACACATACTTTGTCATTTAGATGGTGGCTGTCAATGATGATGATTATAAATTTATCTGCCAGGGCAAGTTTTGAAAAATTAATGTTAAGAGCAGAAATTATTAATTAGAAAATCAGACCTCCAGACCAGTTGAACTTTATTACCGTAGTAATGAATGTTGATACCCAAGATGTAAGGATTGATTTCCTCTTTCGGATAACTGTACATTTCTATCGCAGTCATAAATCATGTTTTGACCTTTCTGATAAAATATAAGGAAAGAAATGATCCTTTTAGTTGATGCTGTACTTTAAGAAATTGCATACAGAAAAGAAAACCAAAAAAATTCAGGCTTTGACCTGATTCAAAACTGTTCCTCTCAGATACTAGTTTGATGCTACTTTCAACTGAGCCGTAAAGCCAACTGTTGACTGGAGTGAGGTAAAGATTAAGTGGGCTCTTCATTCTGCAAATTTTTGTGTTGCCAAAATTCTTATCTGAATTTGGTTGTATTCTGTATTATAAAATATATGTAGCTTGATAGAATGGTATACTCTGTGATAGTTGAATCAGGATCACAAATTTATACGCTAAAATCCATTATTTATTTCATGAACATCAAATGTGTGCTTATTCAACGTGCTTGATATACCTGTACTTAACCCTTCACCCTTCCACTTCCAAGATCTTGTTAGTAATTCTCCTTACAGTGTGCCATACAATTTTTATTATTTGAGCTTGGAGAATTTGGTATCAGATCAACTAATCATCTTCTAATTGATGTTTTTCTTCATTCTCATCACTTGTCTGCTTGATATTGTATTGATATTGTTATGAGAAAATCTGTTTTGGTCACTAATAAGGGTTGAAAGTTTAAGATATAGTATTTCCTAGTTTTATCCCACTTAACAAAAATTGCATGAAAGTGGTTTAAATACTGTAAATATGTCATAAATGACGTGGAAAAATCTCTTTTGCTGTTAAAATCTTTATTTCATATTTTCTGGTTCTCATACAAATTTTTGCTGCTTTGAATGGAGGACTTACATCTACGTTGTAGTACTGCAAATAAATCTGGAAAAACTACTCCACTAACATCCTGATCCCTACTGTTTTTTACACGTTTTCTATGGTACTTGCAAGGAAAATTTGTTCAGCAATCAAGATTTTTTTGAGTTCATGATTATTTAATTCATTCTCATGATCTAAATGTTTGAATCAAGGGATCACTCTTGGGATGGAAAAGGTCAAGGGTTATAAAAATAAGCTACTATAATGAATTGTTATTAGCAATTGATTTTAATTTTTTTTAATTTACCTCTTTACAGCTCCGGCACCCACGAGTGCTGTTTCTCATATAGCAACTATCTGTATTGGAAAAATTGGAAATTTTGATACATTTTATGATCCAAGAAATTGTGACAGGCTCAATAACATTAAAGAAGCTGAGACAGATCCACGAGGCATCACGCCAGACCAGATTGTGTTTGCCATTAGATTTCCCTTCCCTGGTCAATCAATGTCTCGCTGGTTCCAGTTTGTAGCAACATCAATCAGATTGGATATTGAATATCGGCCAGAATTTAAATATGATGATCGTCAAGGTACGTTAAAGGGACACCTTTTTGAAAGGTTGTTTTAAAATTTGTTTTCTCAAGAGTGGTGTTTTTACAGCTGTTCCTTAAAAGGAACAAAGTATTTGTTTATGGTGACATTTCATGGACTATGGACTAATTATCATAATTAATAATTAAGATTTAGTGTTCTTCTGAAGAAATGTGATAGGAATGGAATTGAATTGTGACAAATATTTATGGAGCCTTCAAGGATATCCACCACTTTTTTGAAATATGATTTTGTTATATTTGGCTGCTCTGCAATGACTAGTACATACCAATCACCTCTGAGCTAGCCAATCAGCATGTTTAAAATGCATAATATTTACCTGTGTGGTATATAATAATTTTTTTCATGTGTAATTTTGTTACTTTGGCCGCTTGGAGGAGATTGTTGCCTGTCAATCAGTTCCGAACTAGCTCCAATCAGAGTAGGCAAAAACAACTTTTCACCCATGTTTTCACATCTGAATGCACAATAGAGTTCTGGGCTTAGAAATTAATAGGAGAAACTTGGTTGAAGAAAACTCTAAAATTCTCTTTTTTTGGGAATCTTTTTAGGCAAAGCACCAACACTAACTTTTGAGGCCCATCTGGGATATCTGTCAAACAGCTCTGGTGAAGGTCGATGGGAACTCCTGGCAGAGGCAACGGAAAACAGGTCTCTTGTCTGCAACTTCACAAGATCAAAGGTAAAGTTTTTGCTTTTGATGCATAACCCCTTTGAGTGATTAGCATTTACTTTCTCCTGACAATTTCGCCCCTGAATTACACATGAAGGTTACAACAATAGAACTGATCAACAATTAAAAAGCTTTTGATTATAAACCTTAGCACCTTTGGAAATGTATAGAGATCCAGTATGAAGAATGTACATACCAATGTTATGGTGTAATGGGTGAATAGTGACTAGTTAGTTCAAACAAAAATTCTAATCTCTACATGATTCTGATGTTTGCACGCTTATGAACTGATTCTTTTTTAGTATTCTACCTCGACCTACCAACTCCTCCTTCAAATACACATGACTAGTATTCTTGTAACTTTGATCTTTGGAGAAGCAGGGAAGGCACAATGGCAAGAGTGCTCACCTGCCCACCAATGTGGTCTGGGTTCATTTCCTTAGCCTGGCATCAAATGTGGGTTGAGTCTGTTGTTGGTTCCTGTCCTTTCTACAAGGGTTTTCTTGAGGTCCTTCCATTTTCCCCTTCCTGCAATTCAAACTGGAAACAGTGGCACAGATTAGAGCTAAATGTATCTCAAAGAATATCCACTGCTATATGTAAATTCCATTTTGATGTTAGTTTCCTGTGGACATAAGCCAAAGCATAAATTAATAACAATTTTTTTTAAAAATTGTTTTGTTTATCTGCAGACTGGAGGTGATGATGGGTATTATGATTGTGAAGAAATCCCATTCTTTGAGATAGGATCTGTCCACTATGATGAATACTTAGTAAACATAAAACTGCCATATGCTCGTCACTCAAATGAGAGGATTGGACTTGTCTCCGAGATCAACTTTGTGGTGAGTAAAAGGAGTTTCATCCTTTGACCTCTCTGAGTGACTGGCATCTAATTTCTCCTTACAATATCACCCCTGAATCAAGCATTAAGGTCATGAGAGTAAAGGTAATGATTACCAACTCAAGAAGCTCTTGATTGTGAAACAAATTCTCCTTGCTAGCACCTTCAGGAATGAATGGAGAGCAGTACTAAGAATGTGGATCTTGATGTTAGATTGTTAGAGGTTGAGTTGAATTCAATTCTTAAGGGTTGGAGAATTGATACTTTGCAGAATCCTCTATTTCGCATATTTTTTTGCTCTTCTCATCACTTGGCTGTGTGATTTGTTTTGATAATGTCAGAAGAAAATTTATTTTGTTCACTCCTCACAGAAAGTGAAACGGTTATAAGCATTACCATGTACTTGTAATATTATACACACAGTTGTATCTACATCAATCTTCTTCCGAGATGTTCATGTGTGCATTTACAGTACAAGTATGTAAGGTGACTGTTATTTTAAATTGGTAGGAAATTCACCAAAATGGAGGATTTACTAAAGTCTGGTTCACAGTGAAGACTGTTGTGGGACCAATTACAATTCTTATCCTCCTCTGGTTTGCAAAGCGACTGAAACAATTGAGAAGAGACCCAGTTCTTCTTGAAAAGTAAGAAGTTAATTTTCCTTCATATGTTACAACAAAACTCAGTGGACTTGTGAAGACTTTTATGATTGTGTTCTGCGAAGAAGTTGTTAGGTTTTGAGAAAACTGAACCGCAAACAGCAACAGGAAACCAAAATCCAAAAAAGATTCAGGGATTACATATTCCTTGTGCCTGGTTGTTCCAATTGCACTTAACATTTTCCATCAAGTGAATTTTTACCCGGTCATTCATAAAGTGCAATTCAGTTTTGTGTACACCTATAGCCATTGTTCTGTTTCAAACGACCAAGTTCTGATTTTCACAGAATCAGTTACTTACTTTTCATCAACAATTATCCTACTACAACTTTCACTAACTGTTATCTTCTTGTTTATTTTACAGGGCACTGTTTTGTTTAGGAGCTGTGACAGCATTCATGAACTGTAAGTTTTATCTATGAAGCAATGTTGTTCAGCTCTGTTCAGACAGCACCTTCTTACAATAACTGCATGGTGCTCATCATAGTCATATTAATTGAAAATTTTCAGTGGAGAGATAAGGGTAAATATTCCTGTCCATTGACCAATTACAAGTTCTTAAAGGCACCAGGGGAGGGGATAGAAAAGCTTATCAAGTAACCCACCCTCCCCCCACCCACCCAACATTTGGTCATTTCTCCTTGACAGATTGCCAGTACCCCTTAATACTTTACTATGTAAATCTGTATTCTAGCTCGGTAACTTACTCAGCAGTTTATCATTACCAATTTTGAAAGACGCGATGGCTGGTAGGTTAGTGCGTTAGACTCCGGGGCGAGAGGTCTGGGTTTGAAACATGGACGGATCACTGTGTTGTGTTCGGCGAATTGTCTGGGAAGCCTGATTAGATGCTGAAGGGTACCTTTGCGATGAACTGGCTTCCCATTTAGGGGTGGGGAAGTAGTGCTTCATGCTCAGGATACCGGGACAAGCTGCGCTTGATTGGCTAGTTGGCTTGAGTACGGGCTTTTATTCATAGTAATCTAAAATTTCCATCATTTCAGTTCCTTTTGAGTGGTTTACTCTGTGGTTAAACATGCCCTTCATGTTATTGTTCAGCGACATTCGTCAGGGTTTGTTCTATGGGATGCTGATGAGCTTTTGGATCATTTTCACTGGCGAGCATTTAGTGGTAAGGAACCATGACCTGTTGTGCTGTAGGCAGTCTCAGTCCTTACACAGAAAATCGGAGAGGCAGTCGATCGATCGATAATCGATTGATATACAGTCGTTAGACGAACGGTAGTTGGTCGATGGTCGATGGTCGACAGATGTTCGGTTGGTGGTCTTCCTACTGTATGCTAGACTTATGGTCGGCCGATGTCTTGAGGGCAGTCCGAAATCTCGACTGAGACATCGGCTGATCATTGATCAAATCGCGGTTGACCATTGGGCGATTATCAGAAGGTTATTTGTTGACATCTTATCGAAAATCGACCAAACATCTTCTGACACAGCAATCGATTATCAGACGAGGCCTCCAATACATAACAACCGTTGGGTCAAAACTGACCAATCACAAATGGCAGTCACTATTTAAGTCACATCAGGCAAAACGTAACGACAAGTTTTCTCGACGCAGACTACCAGCACTCGACTGACAAACAACCTTCACTTGACTCTGATGACAGTCACTGCTGCATGTACCTACAAATCCTTTATAGCTCCTCTCGCCTAGATGATCAGATTGCACTGTTAACCCTGTGACCCCTTAAAGTGACTAACATGTAATTTCTCCTTACAATATCACCCTTGAATCACACATGTAGGTCACGATGATCACCAGCGGATGAAGCTCTTGATTAGTGAGGAAATTCTCCTTGTCAGCGCCTTAGGAAATGTAAAGAGAGCAGTAGGCAGAATATGTATACTGATGTTAGGGTGTTAAGGGTTAAGTATTAGGACTGCAGTTACTGTGTCACTGTCTCGTCGCCGATTCCCCTTACTTTCTGATGTAAACACGTGATTACCCTTGTTGTCTGTTGTTACAGGACCAGCCAGAGAGAAACAGACTAAAGACTTACTGGCGACAAATTGGTGCAATTGGATTTGGTTGTGTGTCATTGCTTGTGTTTGATTTGTGTGAAAGGTATGATTATCTGGTTTAATTATATTTTTGAACTCGAGTTTTGCTCTTTCTTTTCATTTACGTCGGCCCAAAGTGTTAATCTCCTCAGTGTACGTAAAAATTTATCGTTAACCCTTTAACTCCCAGATTAAATTTGAAATTCTTCTTACTGTCAACTATTCCATTCTTATAATGTTAGCTCAGAGAAGTTAGTATTGGGTCAACTTATTATCCTCAAATTTATATTTTTCTTTATTCTCATCACTTGTCTGGTTGATATTGTATTGATATTGTAAGGAGAAATTCTGTCTTGGTCACTAGTGGGAGTTAAAGGGTTAAATGCATAAAACTGTAAAGGTATTTTAAATCAAGGACGGGACATTTCAATCATATCCGAAGACCCCCGAAGATTTTGCAAGACGTTTAAAAACAAACTCGTCCCAGTACTCTCTCCTCTAAATCAGAGGTTCTGGAAAGTGCTACTTCATACGGGGTCTTCTATTTTTAGAGGTATCACATACGGGTCTCATATTTTTTCTTACCTTTATGTCTTATTTTTGTTGTATTTTAGAGGATATCAGCTGCATAATCCATTTTACACGATTTGGGCAACCAAACTAGGACGAAACATGGCTGTATCCTTCTATGAAACATGAAAATTGTCTCATTCGTGGTGAAGGTTTTAGTGCAAAAAAAAGCAACAGTATAATTCTCTCTCTTAGGTCGCATTTTTTTTTTTTTGGTTCTGGTAGATTTTAGAGCGTTTTTCTGTTTTGGTGAAATTTCAACACTTTAAAGATTTCCTAAAACATGCTTGCCAAATAGTTTTTTTAGATAATCATAGGTATTTTTTTTATCTATGAGTTTCAGTGTTTTTAAAATTTTCTATCATGTACCTGTTTTGCTTAACTCTATTCAGTACGCCTTTATTATTTTTGCGGCTGTTTGTGCCTGCATTTACTTCTTGTTCCTCTGTTATATGGTGTTCAAAGTGTTCTGGAACATTCGAGGGAAAAGGGCTGCTATTCCGACATTGTCACGCGCTAGGCAGCTGCAGTATCAGGTATGACAAGACAAACGACAGTCTCCGAGAGTTGAGTACCGTCTACGAGAGTTAACGACAGTTTTCGGGAATTGTAGGCCATTGAGGAGAGTTAACGATAGTTGAGGAGAGTTAACGATAGTTGACGAAAGTTAACGAGAGTCGAAGGGAGTGGTCGGCAAAGTTCACGACAATTGAGGAGAGTCGTTTAGAGTTAACGAGAGTGGTCGGCAGTTGACGAAAGTCGTCGACAGTAGACAACAGTTGTCGATGGTAGACAACAGATAACGGACATTTTTGACGATAGATGAAAGTTGAAGGAAGTTGTCGACAGTTGTCAATAGCCGTGGATAGTTGTCGAGAGTTGAGGTCTAAGTATAAGCAATCACCTACAGAAGCTACCCCCATTCGTTGATTCTGTAATTTTTTACCAGTGTCATTCTGCGAGTAAGAAGCTCTGTAGATTGTACTTAATGTTGTGCATTATTTGTAGGGGTTGATCTACCGTTTTGAGTTCCTGATGGTTGTGACTGTCCTGTGCGCTGGTTTCACTGTGGTTTTCTTCATAATTAGCAACGTAAACGAGGCTCAGTGGAAATTTGGAGAAGAGGAGTCCACTGTTGAGCTTTCAAGTAAGTGCCAAATTTACTTGAAGGGAAACATGTTGAAGCTGAGTATTTGAGCTTAAGGCAAAGAGAAATCTGAGTTTTCCGTGATGCTATTAATCAAGTGTCAAGCAATCCAATCACTTAGTAGGCATTACAAAATTTGTTTGTGGCAATTTCGTAAAATTCATTGGGAATCTCAGGTTTTCTTTTCCTTGTCCCACCCTTGGAAATGTTCACACATTTTCTAAGTAAGACAACAACAGAAAATCAGGGATCCGTGCAGTTCCTCCTACTGGTTGTTGACTGGTTGCGCCCAGCCGGGCTGGAAATATATTATTGTTTGACAATCATTCTCAGTGATTTAATAGCTGAGCGATTTGAATTTTGTAAATCCGAAGCCTTTGTTTCCCTCGGTTTGTTTTCGTTTGTTGTCGCGTCCGTCGGTCTAAGAGTAATTCGTCTGTTCCTTTCTTCATTCGTGGGTGGCGCGGTCGCTCATTCTCGTTCGTTGTTTGGTCCCTTCATCAAGCGATGTCGGTAGCTCTTCCGTTCCTTTGTTCGCGGCTTGGTCGGTCGGTCGGTCGTTCGTTCATTCGTTCGTTCGTGCCTTTGTTCCGTCGTTCTTTCATGCGTTCGTACTCGTTGATCTGTTCATTCTTGAAGTACCCTTTTGAAACATTTTTCTTCTCTCGCAGGTGCGCTGTTCACTGGAATTTATGGGATGTGGAATACGTACGTATTTGCAGTAGTCTTCCTGTATGCGCCATCACATGGAACCCTGGCCACAGGTAAATAACCTTATCACAGATTTATATCGTACACATTTTTAAATCTTTATTATTTTAGTTATCTAATAATTTCTTCCATCGGTAACCTTCGTATCGTAAGTGGTAATTTAGTCCGTTATTTGGTACGGGGATTATTCGTTTTCGGGTTGTCTCGTTTCTAAGGTTAGGGTTTTCGGGACAAGCGACTCGAATCACTTTTTTCGGAAACAGCTCGGAAATTTTTCGAGACTACTTTCCCTTGCTAACTTGAACTTAGTCTTCCTCTGGCGACCGCCTCGGGTTAACACGTGATCTTCGAAAACTGCTCGGGAACTTTTTAGAAACGGTATCGCAGACTAGCATAGTCCCTACGATCCTATGCCACCCCTTTGGGACAATGTTTTGGATCAAGTTGCCTTTAGAACACAGGGTAACTGTTTGAAAATGGTAAGCTGTGGTTGCTTTGTCCCAGTCCTTCTGAGCTATCGCGAATTTCGTAAAGATATGTAATTAGGAATTATCTCTGTTGCAGATAATGCAGAAGATGAACAGGAGAGGTTAGAGTTAAGAAGCCGCACCGAGGTTCGATTGACGGAAGGCGAGACAGCAGAAGAATCTGTTATCTACAAATTCACAGGCAAAACTGCTCAAGAATAACTGAACTGAAGGAAAATGAAACGACAGAAACCTAAGCTTTTTCCGTCTTCCTGCAAGGACTCTAGCATGGCTGCGCGACCATTAACTCGAATGACTCAGGCTATTTTCAGATCTGTTGTATAGGAAATAGTTGACGCAAGCTCCATAATTGCTGTATTTTGTG